TCATGTTCTTTCTAATTGACTATTTGTTTCATACTTTCTTTTCCCTTATCTCCTTCATCACTCTAGCCAGACTCTCATGGTCTCATTCTAGACTCTTCAGAGCTGCTCTAACCAAATGCAAATATTGTTCCATCTGATATGCCTCCTAACCCCAGTCTGATCTTCATAAAAGATAAAATGTGATGATGTTTACATCTTTAAAGCATCCAGAAGTTCCATATTTTGTTCTTACAGGGAATCAGATGCTGATATATCTGCCTAGATTTCATGGCCCAGAGCCACCTTCTCACTTCTCTCTCTCTTCCAATAACCAACTTCATTTCCTGCTGCTTCACATTATGTGGTTCTGAAGCCAGTGTCTGATGAAAGCCAACCTCTATCCCATTTCTGTGATGTCTGGTCTTGGAATAAAGTGTTCCAAGATAAGTCTCACTTGGAATATCCTTCCCTTTTTCCTTCTAGATCAATAAACATCCATTCATCCACTTTCTCCTTCCAAGTCAGTTCAACACATTCTTCCTGAGGATGCACCATTAAATAGAAAATGTTGTCCTTACTACGCATGGTGAGGAGTGCAAGGCTGTGTGAAACAGGGTCCCTGCTGTGCTGCCTGAATCTGTCTGGACTGCTCCAGACCTCCAGATTCTTCTTCTCCAGACTTGTGTAGTACTTCAAGTCTAGACCGGTGGGCTACAGAGTGGACTGCTCAAAATAATCCACTGGTGTGCAGGAAGAAAGTACTGGAACTTAACATTTACATTTTTTCACCTCATTTCAAATTTCTATTTTAGAGTATTTTTATAAAGTATATATTAGTACAAAGGTACATGGTTAACGTTTACAAATAAATAGTATACACATATTAGATGTCCATGTGCAAGCATTTTTACTAATGGAGTGAATGATCGAAAAATATAGATTGTTGCCTGGGTGGCTTATTCGGTTAAGCATCCAACCTCTTAATTCCAGCTGAGGTCATGATCTCACTGTCATGAGATCAAGCCCCACATTGGGCTACATACTGGGCATGGAGCCTGCTTAAGATATTCTCTCTCTCTCTCTCTCTCTCTCTCTCAAAAAAAAAAAAAAAAATAGAGCCTCAAATTCAGAACTTTCCTTGGGGTTTTAGGAGGTCGGCAAACTGGCCCACCCAGGTCCATTTATTCTCTCATTCAAAAACTATTTGCTAATCCCCTAGAGTGTGTCAAGCAGTATGGAGAGAGAGAAGTCAGGTAAGAGGAGATCAAAATGTCTGCATTATTTCTGATAGATGCTCACTGGAAAATGTAGCTTTGTATCAGGGCCAGGATGGCTTGCTAATACTTTACCCCTGCAGTAAGCAGACCCAGTCACAGGCAAAGTGGGCAATTACAGCACAGTTTCTACCTCCCTCCTTCCTAGCCCGGGGCAGGGCCTTTGACCAAAGCTTTTACTGCGTGACCAAGAGTAGCTAAGAAGTCATCCTCTTTGTATGCAGGCAGAAAGGTCCTAACAGAGGGGAGAGAGGGAGGGAGTTGAGTGGGATATGCTCAGTTTATTCTTTCAAATGCACTTACGAGATAAGCCACTTCTTCACAAGGGAGGGAAAGTAGGTAACAGGTGGAGAGAGATCACGGTGTTTCTCTAATATAGGGGTCCCTCCTGATAAATACACCACTGTTTTTTTGGCTTTTATCACCTCTTAATAAATAAGATTTTTCTCTTGTTTCAAATGTATCTCCCTAAAAAGGAGCACTCTTTTCACTGAAAGTACAAGCAAAACACATAAAACCTGTTGACAGGATTTTGAATTGAGTGTTTGAAGGCCTTAAGATGTATCTGGACTGAGGCCTAGAACCTGATGCCATTTTATGGCCCTTCCCCAGAGTTCTCGATCTGATTTCCCAACCCTGCATTAGAACAGAATGCATGTGTGTGTGTGTGTGTGTGTGTTTGAAAAGAATGGCGTGGCTGTCAGTCTTATCTGGATATATTGTAAAACTCTTTTCCTAGCTCTCCCTCCCTATTCCCCACCACACACGCACACTCACATGCACACGCATGTGCATATGGTTCCCTAACATTAAATTTTGCAGTTTGGAGCACACAGTGGGATGAAAGACCCACTATGATGGTGGTGGTGATGAAAGGTGAAGGCATGTGGTCTGGGAAACAAAGCAAAGAGAAACAAAAGCTTATTGCTTCTCATTGTTTGTAAGCAGAAGGTAATTTAATGTTATTCTAGAAAGAGAGAGGAAGGGAGAAGGAGAGAGATACATTGAAAGCACACCCCATCTTGGAGTGAGGGACTTCGTTAAGGTCCATTCTAGTCCATCCTCGCTCCTCCTGCCTGCGCTCACAGGGCAAAACTCTAACATGACATTCTGGAAAATTAAAATCTACCCAGTTTTTAAATACTTACAGAGAAAGACTTTACAGCCTCCCCTCAATAACTAATTCAAACGATTAAACATAAGCTCGGATAGCACTTTTCTCCAAACTGTCAACACATTCTTGCTTCAGTTTAAAATGGTTTCCTTTCCATAGTGGAAGAGACAGTTCATCACCATCTTCTGTGTGATATAGCAATATTAAGTTGACCACTAGATTTACAACTGAGCAAGTCAATCCAGTGCCATCATATACTTCTTTTTGTTTGCTTTGAATCTTCTGTGTGGTGCCTCTCTGTATCCTCTTCAGTTTTTCACACCCTGATTTAGTTGTGGAAACTAAACAAAAGAATTATATGGTGGTTTCTGTGTGTTTCTGTGTGTGTATCCCAAGTAGTCAGCTTGAAACAAATACAGTGCTAATTTACAGCTTCTTACCTGTGCATTTTGATTTATTTGGGGTATTCGGACATTAATACATAGTTCTTTAGGATACAGAAATCTTCTTAATCCAAAAATGTGAATCCTGGAAATTTTAGGAAGGTCAGTGAAGGAAATTTTTGAGTAAATATTAGTTAGGATTTTCTGCTGTGGTAAAAGCAAAACAACAGTGGCTTCAAAATGTACAAATCAATTTGTCCCTGTTTAAGTGTTCCTCAGCATGCAGACTGACATAGAGGCTCTACGTTGAAGGGACTAGTCTTCTTATCTCGTTGCTCTGTCATCCTGTCTTTATGGCTTCCATTTCAAGATATCGTCACCCTTTAGCTGTCAAGAGGGGGCGAGAGGGAGAGGAAACCGCATCTCTCGTTTTAAGGGGACAACCAAGAAGTTGTGCATTTCTCTTCCATTCACATCCAACTGGCCAGAATGAAGCTGCATGAGCATACTGACTGAGCTGCAAGGGAGGCTGGAAAATACTCCGGGTCCTCATGTGCCCAGGTAGGACTTCACAGTTCTAGTACTAAAGAGAGAAGGAGAGAATGGATAATGGGGATAACAGCCCTCCCCTGGCTTTGTAGATAGAGCCAGCCTGAGAAGCATGCTTTGACCATGAATTCGGTGAGGGGACTCTTAAGTGGTGTAGAAAATACCTAAGGATGTGAAGAAGGAGAGAATCTTGCTCTGCCATAGAATAGCCCAGTCTACTGGGTAAGATCGGCATTGTAACCTAGTGGATCCGAGGCTTGGCATTCAGTAATAAAGGTACACCTCTCCTGCTACTAGGAGTGAAGTTGAAACTTACTTAACTCCGAGAATATTCTTTGGCTTCTGTACAACCTAATTAAAATAGTTTATCTAGGGGCAACTGGGTGGCTCAGTCAGTTGAGCATCCGACTTGGGCTCAGGTCATGATCTCACAGTTCATGAGTTCAAGACCTGCATCGGGCTCACTGCTGTCAGGGCAGAGCCTGCTTTGGATCCTCTGTCTCCCTCTCTGTCTCTACCCCTGCCCTACATGTGCTCTTTCTCTCTGTCAGAAAAATAAATTTAATAAATAGATTATCTAAGTGAAGTTTCCAAACTAACTAGGTTCGGCATAAAACCAAGATCACAGCTTTGCTCGGTTACTCTCTTTTCAGGACACAGAAACCACACTGCTCTATTGCCCCTTGATCTAGGTCATCCTATTAGTTCAAGGTATTACTACATTTCCATGAAAGAGTCAGTAACATATATTTGAGGACTGTAATGAAAAAAAAATAAAACTTTTTAAATGATAGTAAATGAAAATTTTAACTTAAAAAAATTGTACTACCCCATTGTAAGATCTGCATCACTTTACGAATGTTCTAGGAAAATAACCATAAAAAGACATTTTGCTGATTACAATGCTATACATACTCCATCTGGGACTTGCAAGTCATATTTGTTTACTCGATTAGCCAGGCGCTTTTTCCTGTTAGTGTCCACATTCATCTTTTTCAAATGTAACCCTGGTTTTCATCTCAGCCTGATAAGACCAACCTGGATTTTGACAGTCACACTGATTTTTATCTATTTAAACTGCTAGAAGCAAAATCTGATTTTGCTCCTGGCTTTTGTTATTGAGAAAAGTAATAAAAACCAAGCCAGAATTAGATCAGGGACATCCATTATTTTAACCAGGAACACAAAATAAATATATAGCTTTACCCAAGTATTGGATTAATTTAAGTATATGGGGATGTTAAAAATTGCATTCAAAATATGTTTCTCAGCTGATTATTTATTTGATGTACACATTTAACATTTCTATCGTCTCTTGTAGAAATAATAATATAATAATAATGAAAACTCTCATGTGTTGAGTTTTCAGTATGCACTTGCCCTGCACAAATTTTTCTGTGCTCGGTGCTTAAGCCTTGAATCCATTCCATTCAAACTACATGGCTGCTGACACAGCAGAGGAAGAAAAGCCAAGGAGCTTTGGGTGGAAGATAAACAGCAGTTCTAGCTCAGTATTAATACTCCCAGGTGAATAGATTGTGCATTCTCAACAGGTGCTACATTACCCCCAAGAGGGTGAAAACTGGCTCCTGAGGCGTGAAAGAATCAGATATTATGGCTGAAGTCAGAGCGTGGGGGGGGATTGTGACAGTGCAAGAACGATCAGAGAGATGCCACAATGCTGGCTTTGAAGATGAAGGGGTACAGGAGCTAAACCATGGAGATGAGCCATAGAATCTGGAAAAGGTAAGGAAGCAGATCCTCCTCTGGAACTTCCAGAGAGGAATGCAGCCTGGTGACACCTTGATTTTAGCCCAATGAGATCCATGTTGGATTTCTGACCTACAGAACTGTAAAGATAATAAATAAATTTGTGTTCCTTAAAGCCCCTAACTTTGTGCTAGTTTATTATAGCAGCAATAACAAACTAGTACACCAGTTTCCTCACTGTTCAAGAGAAGGATAGAATGATCTATGTCACAGGTTTCTTGTAAGCATTAAATAAAATAATCCATGAGAAGTACTTAGCATCAGGAGCATAGGGACATCCTGGCCTTACCAGTATTCAGATGAGCAAGGTTTGCATTCTGAGTGTACTTTTCCCATGTTGATGTTGCTGATAGATTTCTTTCTTTATGTCAGTGACAACAGTCAAGTTTTATGCTGGCCCTGTCACTTTAAAAGGATTTTGTAGATTTCTCCTCAGATCCATGATAATATTGATTGTATATTTCAATTGTGGGAAATTCCATTTGCTAACTTCCGTGTACAACCAGCTCTTAGGTCCTTCCCTCAAAGCTGTTCTCCTCCTGTGTCTTCCCTCTCTTCTGCCCTGTCTGAAGTAATACCTGAAGCTTTGGTGGGGTCTATGAAGAGGTAGAAGAGGAAATTCCCAGCAGTGGTAGAGAGGAGAGAAGGGCCAGCTACCAAGCACCCCAGTAAGGGAGGGGAGTGCCATGTGAGACTTCCATTCCAGGAAGAGGCATTCCAAGTTAGAGCCTGGCTGGGCTGGGAAGGATGAACTCGGGTGTATTGTTTTCTTTTTTTTAACTTTAAGAAAGTGTGTGTGTGTGTGTGTGTGTGTGTGTGTGTGTGTGTGTGTGTGTGTTTGTATGTGTTTATTCTTACTTTTTTAACAACTAAGAAAATCCCTGCTGAAAATGAGAATCTTCACAATGTAACATTCACTGACTTGCTTCATTAAGTGAGTTGGGTAGAGCCTAGTGTAAATGAAGTGAAGTCCACAGGTTTTTCTCTATCTTTGTCGAGTCAATTATTTTCACAGAGAACAGCTTTTGCATTATTACAAGAAAAGAAACTAACAGTATTGTATTCTTAATACCCAGTGTAAAAACTCTGTGTGTTTATATATGTTATCTTTTAACTCACAGCATTGCTATGAAATAGATATTACTACTCTCATTTCCTGCTGAGGAAGAGGGAGTGTCCTCACAATATCATTATGGAGTAGATAAGTAGATATAATTAGCCCCATTTATAGCTAGGTGCTCAGGGGCCCAGGGATGGTGGCATCTGTACTGGTTTGGCTGCAATAGCAGTGTGACTCTTGACTGGGACTGCTGCTAGCCTGTTGCCTATGCAGGACCTTTTGGTTGAGGCCATATTTTAAACCTTGGTTTTTAGTCTTCAAGGTCCATAAATTGGACTTTTTCTGTGAGCTCAGAGATGCTCAGACTCTACAGTGCACTAACAAAGTTTTAATAAGAATGATGGATCAGGGACACCTGGGTGGCTCAGTCAGTTCAGCATCTGACTCTTGGTTTCAGCTCAGGTCATGATCTCACGGTTCATGAGTTTGAGCCCTGCGTCAGGCTCAGTACTGGTGGTGCAGAGCCTGCTTGGGATCCTCTCTCTCTCCCTGTCTGTCTCTCTGTCTCTCTGCCCCTCCCCTGCTCTCTCTCTCTGTCTCTCTCTGTCTCTCTCAAAATAAATAAACTTTAAAAAAAAAAAAGAATGATATATCAACCTTTATTATTGGGGCATTTATTTCTATCTAAGGATCAGGACATCCCCTTTCCAATATCAGGGGCTCATAGACTTCTCTTGCCCTCCACACCAGTCTGATCCCCACACTACCCTAGCATTCTTTCTGAAATGTACACCTGGCCATTTCACTCCCATGCTCGTGACCCTTCAGGGACTACTTGCTACCCTCAAGATAAAGTTGAGGCTCCATAACCTGATTCACAGACCTCTTTCTCTCTAGGTTCATCTTTTTTCTCTTCATTTGGTTCTAGGGATACTGAACACCCTGTCAGGCCTGAATGTCTTTTGCATCTGGGTTTTGGTGTATTTTAATCCCTCTGCTGAGATCACGTTCTTCCCGTTTGTTCCCTCCTCACTGCACCCCATTCATTTGGATAATTCAGGGCCCAACTTAGATCTAACACCCATCTTGAAGGTTTCCTTGACCCTCCTGATCTTATTTGCCCCCCAAGTCAAAGTGCTCTAATAAAACCTTGTACATCCTCTATAATAGCATGTGTTGACTTGTGTCTTGTTTATTTGTCTGGTAACCTTCATCAGAATCAAAGTTCTCTGAGGCCAGAGTTTGTATTCCGCTCACTGTTTTTCTCCCTAGGTACTTGGTACAAGTCCGTATATATAGGACGTTTTTGATAAAATGTTCTTGAATATATAAAGAACAGAAAACCTATATTCAAGTCCTGGCCCTGCCACTTTCTAGTTGTGTGACTTCTGACAAGTTCCTTATACACTTAGGGTCTCAGTTTCCAAATTTATAAAAAGAGAAATTTCACTGAGATGTTACAAAGTTCTCTTCAAACATGAACATACTGGGATTCTAATGCAACTCATTAGCTATCCAGAAACCATAAATCCACAATCAAAGTTTACAAATGACAAGTTGGGAGCATTTCCATGACTTAATTTCTTGAACATGGATTGATTATTTCATTCCATTCACTTATATACATTAATAGTCAATAGATTCATACCTGTTCTTATGTTGATATTTTTGTTCTTGACCCAAGGGTTTATTTTCTGAAGGATACTCTCTTCATCTTACACTGATTGATACAAACGAAAAGAGCCTCATAAGCCTGAGAAAATAACAAAGTCTGTGTATGTCTACTCTTTTATTCTTATGTCCATCTGTTTTTGGGAGTTAATGAAACTTTTTGCTGTACTAAGAATTTCAAGTGAAGGTAATTAAAAAAAAAAACTACTAGGTGAGAACAGTAGTTCCAAATAAGAAAAAAATCTGCAATTTTTACTGATTATTCACGGACTTGAGTTGGTAATAGATATAATACCATATATAACTGTGTGAAATATTTGAAATAAAAGGAAAAAAGAGAACCACTAATATCCTGTTGTAAAATTGTTAATGGCAAATGTAAACCATTGTAGTAACTCACACATGGTGTCTGTTAGGTTAACTTCCTGGTGAAGGAATCCATGTCAAACTACCAGATTTTATTTGTGCTTATATACTTTGGAGGTTGCTTTCTCCTACATTCCTAGCACTAATTATCATAGGAACCAGAATCTTAGTATATCTCAGATACTTCTTGCTAGTAAATTAAACATGTTTAGATATTTCATTTGTATATGTAATAATCTAAAGTAGTCATTTACTAAGAATTTCTATTGGTATAATTACTTTTTCCTAAAATTTCCTCTATATTTCCTGTAATTGTGAATAACTCAAACTTGAAAACAGACTTAAAATTTTTCGAAGTTAGTTCCTAAACCTATTGCAAAGTCTTGATCAATATTATTGAAATGATACACCTACTGCGATAAAACATCAGTACTCACTACAAATGATTTTTATTTTCTGCTTTTAATTGAAAGTTTTCTTGCCCGATGCCAAATTCCTTTTATCTTTGGACAAAACTGTATTTGGCCTAGCTTATGGGCTAATTAGCATTAGGGTCTTTTCCCCTCTGTCTCCATTATTTTTATGCATTATTATTTACTTAGCAATCCATGGTGATCTCTGACCTCCTGACTCAGCAGAGCCCATTTCCAGGTCAGGTGGCCATGACCTCATGTAGACAGAGCAGTTTATTAGCAACACACCAAGAATACACCAAAGACAAATGGATTTGTTGTTCCTTTACTGACAAGTTACTCTGAGCTCAATTCACAGCCAGTGAAAATGACCCGATTCAAATATTTGGTATAGAAACCTTGATGAAAAAATGTATACTTTTCAGGAAGATAAGAATATATCTTTATTTCATATGGAAAATAAATTGGCATTTATTGGGAACACAGTTTTTGCATTTTGATTACAAATTGCTTAAATTACTTTGTAAAAAGTAGATCAAAGAAATTAAGAAAATAATGTTCATATTTACATGCCTGAGTGTTGAAAGTGAATTCTAATTTTTAGGCTGCATGTGGGGTATACGGATATATAAATTAAAGTTCAAACCCTAAAAGTTACTGGTCATGTTAATGACCAACTAAATTATACTAGAGATTTGACTATATTCTGTTAGCATGTTAGTTATTCCCATCATTAAGATCAATGATTCTTAATGGCAGGTGGTTATAGATGCAGTTCATAAACAATGTAGTGCTTTCTCTCGTAGCTCTGATTTTTAAAAATTACTTAATTTGAGGGGCGCCTGGGTGGCTCAGTCGGTTAAGCAGCCGACTTCAGCTCAGGTCACGATCTCGCGGTCCGTGAGTTCGAGCCCCGCGTCGGGCTCTGGGCTGATGGCTCAGAGCCTGGAGCCTGCTTCCGGTTCTGTGTCTCCCTCTCTCTCTGCCCCTCCCCCGTTCATGCTCTGTCTCTCTCTGTCTCAAAAATAAATAAAACGTTAAAAAAAAATTTTTTTAATAAAAATTACTTAATTTGATATTTCAATAGCATCACAAGAAAATAAGAATGTTTTCCTCATCAAAAGATTGAGAAACTTGCTTTAATTAATCTGCACTTAAGAAAAAGTTAGTAAACGCACAGTTTTTGACAGAGACGAAACAAGGAAAATGAGTTGTTCCTAGGGAGCAGGAATCCACATGTTTTAGGATAGACAGAAAGGTGGGTATCTAAAAATCCAAGAGAGGACACACTTGGCGAAGTTAAAAGGAGGAAGGAAAAAATAGTGTCCAGAACAGTTTCTTGCATGTAGTATGCACCCAATAATAAATTGTTTTCACTGAATGAATGAACTGAAACCACTCAGCCCTATAAGCATGGGTGTAATTTACTTCTGATACAGCATACAAAAGTAACACAAAAACAGTAA